ATCAGAGCAAAGGGTCCTGCATGGTCAGATCTCAGCCCAGGGCAAGATCCTGGAGGGTGCATCAGAAAACTCATGAGTGTATCATTTTTTAAAAGTTATTTATTTTGAGAGAAAGAGAAAGAGTGAGGGAGGGGCAGAGAGAGAAGAGAGAGAGAATCCCAAGCAGGCTCTGCACAGTCAGTTCAGAGCCCGACGTGGGGCTCAATCTCTTGAACCATGAGATCATGACCTGAGCGGAGATCAAGAGTTGGACACCTGACTGACTGAGCGACCCAGGTGCCCCTCATGACTATATCACCGAGGAACTTAGGGAGCACATCTAAGATTCTGTACTTTTCTTATAGGTGATTAGAAGACTTTAAAGAGCTTTAAGCAAGTGAAAAAAATCTAACTAGCTGCAGAGGGAGGACAGTTGCAAGATCCCTGGAAGAGAGACAAATGTCTGGATGGGGGCTGTGGCCAAGTTGGGAAGAGAGAATGAATGTGTTCTTGTAATTACAGTACAAAAATGATTTATTAACTCAAAAAAAAAACAGGCATGACCTTGAGAACTACCTTTTACTCAAAGAATTTAGTTAACTCTGCATTCCCTGCTTACTTTAGTATACTTTGCGAACTGCTATAGATGATTACTTCCAAGTAAAGTTAGGCTTGGTCCCTACTGAAGACAGGAGGATGAATTTCCAGCCCCTTTCAGTTAAATAATTCAGCAGGCTGGGTTTAGCTAGGCAGTACTTGGAAGGATTCTTATGTTAACTGACCATGAAGTAAGATCACTTTTTGCTTTTGGGTCAGAGATTTTTCTGACGTGTACTGAAGTTACAATGTTTCTTTCAAAGGGAAAAATACACCATTAAGTTTCTGGAAATACTATGGCAAATTTAATCCTCTGTAGAGATTATAGTTTAACACCAAGCGGACACCGGTGTAAGGACCATCTATGTCCCAATCACCCAATCCTTCCTTTGTGCCACTTTTCACAGCAGACTCTTAAGTTGGTTGTTCCTGAGACTTATTATTAAAAGAATAATCATTACAGCTTCAAGAAAATAAGTTCACCCACATATAAGGTGAGCTAAGTATATTTAAACCAACTAAGAATCTATGGTGGTCATCTGTGATCCAGTCCCAAGTTTTTTATTTTTTAAAAAAATTTTTAAATGTTTTTATTTATTTCTGAGAGACAGAGAGAGACAGCGTGAGCAGGGGAGGGTCAGAGAGAGAGGGAGATACAGAATCTGAAACAGGCTCTAGGCTCTGAGCTGGCTGTCAGCACAGAGCCCAATGTGGGGCTCGAACCCACAAACCGTGAGATCATGACCTAGGCCGAAGTCGGACACTAAACCGACTGAGCCACTCAGGCGCCCCCCAAGTTTTTAAAAATACTTTTTTTTTTTTACATTTTAGCTAAACTATTTTTAGTGTAAAATTAGGCATAATCACCTATAAAAGAGTTTCAAGAGATGAATAAGTGGCATAAGAAACAAACGTTTACTCCTGGGTCTGCTCTGAGGTCCAGACACCCCCTTGCCTGAGGGCGGAAGGCTAGGATGAGCCTGTCAGAAAGGGGAAGAGGCCAGGCAGGAAACTTCCAGGGTCTACTGACTCTGTGGATGAACCTTCTGTTTGGAAATGAAGGAAGTAGTACTTCACCGGTGCTCCCCTTCATCTTTTGTATCCAGGCTTGGTTTTGAAATGCACATACATAACCTATAACCTCCCAATTAGTCATGAGGTTACTAGTCAAGGGCAAAATACCAATTCTGATTTCATGCACTGTACAAATCTGTTTTCCTTACTTGGGTGGGAGTGGAGGGGAAATCTAGCAATTCAGGAGGAGACAGAGATTACCGTCCACTGAAGAAAACAAATCGGTATTGAAGATGTGCTCTATGGGCTATAAAAGGGTACTTCTGAAACAAGCTGTTTCTGTTTCTACTGAGAAAGCAAGCTTGACCACTCACATTATCATTGGGATAGAGGACCCGGGTGATGTTCTCGGCCAGATTTCGGTCCAGCACAGCCTGAATGTAGTCTCCAACGTTAACTGAGGGGAGGGTTAGAAAAATCAATAAATACATAAGCCAGTCACTGTTATCAAAGCCCCTTGACCTCACCTGATGCTTGCTGTGTGCCATGTGGATGTAGGGATGCCTATAATTTCTGAAAGTTCAAAAGGATTTCCACAGACCTCCCTGCTATGATTTGCATGGGAGTCTAAGAAGGACTGCTTTAAAAATGTCCTTGTATGTGCTCCATTAAATGGCTGCTCACTTGCTGAAGAGCTCTGACCAGAAACTCAAGGCTGTTCTCTCAAGCTCAATTTGATTGATTACACACACAAACACACACATATACAGAAACCACTTATGCCCCAGTCCCCAAGATACTTGCTTTGTGCCATCTTTTAGAGGTGGTGCTGATTTGGTTGCTTCTGAGATCAAAAACATTAAACATACACACACAGGCGTGAGAGACCAGACTGTACTCACAGTCTCTGAGATTAAAGTCATTCGGCGCACGAGCGGACCAGAGGCGCATGGTGTTGACGGTGTTGTTCATATACCCGGGCACTGGGGTGTCATATGGCAGGGCCAGGACCACCTGTGGGATTAAACCAAAACAGCCTCTCAGTTTCCCATGTGTGGTGACGTCAGCTGGACAATGGGATGGGAATTAGCAACTGGGATTCTGTTCCTGGCTCCATCACCAACTCAGACTGTGGGGGCTTAAGCCAAGATGAGGGTCCTAGGACTCGAGAGTAGGTTATTAGGGGTCATGTGGAGCTTCCTCCCACTGGAACAATCTGGGTGCCTGGAACCATCCAGACCGATGGTCCCCTATATCATTCCAATGATGACATCCCTTTGTGTCCCTTGCCTTGTTGTGGATGCAGATCTTTCATGTTTCAGATTAAGCCGTTGTCCTAAGAATAATAAAATATGATGTGCAAAGTGACAAATGTGAATCTGTATCCATTAAAAAATAACAATAGGGTAATTTTAGTATATGTTAATTCAATGATCTGATTTCAAATATGGTGAAAATCAACAGAACAGAAACATATGCAGATAGATTATAGATAACATTTAAAATACTGCTAGATTTTTCAAAGTTGCATGAAGAAGAGTTATTTTGCTGATCTGACCAAATCAGCTGATAGTCAGCTGAGATGGGTATAAGAGGTGGGCTTTGGAAAATTGGTAGCTCAGTCTTTGTGATAGTCATTGAGACTGAGAAGAACAAGGAAGATAACTGTGTTTCACATGAACTAAAATTTATGTGGGAAGAGACTTATTTCTATTCCCTGACTCTTCAGTCAAGCTCTAAGGAAATGGAATGACAGACTGACTGGACTGGAGGGTGCTGGAGATCACTTAGTACAACCTACTCATTTTGGACATGAGAGGAATGAGGCTAAGAGAGAAGTGACTTGCCCACAGTCAGTCAGTGGTAGGGCTGAAACCTAAACACAAAGCTCTTTAATGTGAATTATGAGTGAATGAAGCCATGTAGTCTGTATCAATCACATACATTCAGTTATGTTTCCATGAATACCAGGACCTTGAAGTAATAAATCACCCTTCTTTAAATACCTTTTACTAGAAAAGAGAGATCTTCGGAGGTTTTTAAAGTACATTGTGATCCATCAGGAAATGTTGTTTACAGAATGGGAGTGAGTCTGGGTTCAAACAGGAGTTGTCCTCTGACCCCTGACGTGTAACTGAGGCAGCTGTGGAAGTACACTCAGATGTCTCTGTAGAGAACTTTGGGTAGAACTTGCCACCTGGGATGGGAGCTCGAGCCGCCAAGGCTGTGCTTTCTTAGGGATGCTTCCATCATGGTGGATTTGGAGAGCTAGGGCTTGGCTCAAGAGCAATCTTTGATCCCGGGCCCCACCAGCCTGGCTGCTTGCTCTGAGCTACACAGCCATTGGAGGCTCTTCCCAAGGATCCTCCTTCCTTTCCTTTTTCTCTTCACAGGTGCCACACCTCCCCCATTTGCCCCCTCCTCTCTGTTGCTAGTAGCAATTGCCCCAATATGTCACATGTACTTCTAATTCTCTCTGGCATCTGCTTCCCAGAGGACCAGCGTGGACACACAAGTGAAATGGATTGTTCGGTTTCCTAGGAGGTGCCCACAGCATGTGTACACCATGCCTGTCCTCACATTCTCTGACCTCACCAGCTACAGACCTGGGGCTGATTTGGGTGATGGCCTCCATAAATCCATGAAGTGCTGCACAGCTTGGGACAGCTCACCTTATATTACATCTGGCCCATAACCTTGCCTTTGTGGGCACGGAAAAATATACTCTCTCTAAGTGAATGTCTGGATATATTATGAAAATGTCTAGAGGTGCTCTGTAAATACAAGGTAGCTCAACAGTGGACCTAGTGTAAACAGAATGTTTCCAGGATTGACTGTATAAACTACATACATTTAAATAGGTCAGAGTCACTGGAAGTTTTAGATACCAAAACCTATACCAAATACTTGCTAGTTTAATACCAAATATGTGTGTGAATTCTTCAGGTATATTAATGATTGATTTGTTTGCAGCTCTCCTGAACATATTCGTAACCAACTGCAACTTAGACTGTATTCTATTATTCAACTAAATTTAGAAAAAGAGAAACTTATCTTGAAATTATAGTATTTATCATCTCTTCTACCATTATACCATAATGACCTATTTTAGTTTCTTTTTTTTTTTTTTTTTCTTTCATAACTGAATTTTTATTGGTTGTTCTGAGGATCGGCACAGACAATTCAGTTTGCACACAATTCTTACCAGACATACTGAAAATCTAAACAAATCATGTAGTTGCGGTTCTTTTCTAAGTTATTCCAGTGACTGTCCAGCTTAAAATTTGGAGTCAAATTTCCCTTAACAGCATATCAAGTACCGGTATCTTCAAATGCTGATATGCTGTTACACTGTTAATTAACTCCCATTAACTCACAATTCAGTATCATATACACTACACACTCCAATGTTCAATCTCGCACAGCACATTCACAAGTTTACTAGGAAAGTGGACGAGGACGCCAAGATGTTACAGAGTGCACAAATTCTGACAGGGAGAGCCAGGATCAAGGAGTGGTTTTCTTTAGGAAACAATTCTACCAAAAACAACAAGGGAATAGAAGTATTTAAAATGTTCCAGACATATTAAATGCACGACTGACTCCAAATTGCCATTTAGTATGCTTGGTATTACAGGATATAAAAATTACCCCATCTATGGAATGTTAAGCTGACACCCAAGACGATCAAAGCCTCCCATATTCAATATCCCACTATTTTCTGGTTGTACCAAAAAATAAACAACCAGCAAATGATTTCACCTCTTAAAAAAAAGCATTTACACTTAAAAAATGGGATGAGGTGGGATTCCCTCCTTCTTAAAAATGTTTCTAGAGCTACTAAAAAACTTGCATTTACAAAATAGTTGATAAAAATATTCCTCTGGATTGTACAAGAAGGGACTCAGGGACCACTGAGAAGACATGGGATGTGGTATTAATCAGACTTGGCTTCTTTCTCTCCTGCTTCCTCAGAGGCCAGACTCTCCTCGGTTTTAGTTTCTCCATTTTCTGCAGGTAAGTCTTCTTTTGTTTCCTGGTTAGCCACTTCGGCCTGTTTTCCCTTTGCTCCCCTTTTCCCCTTTGTTTGTACTTTTTTGTCTGAAGATTTATCCTTTCCCGCCGCCTTTTTGGGCTTCGCTTCCACTTTCGCAGGAGCGGGTTTAGCTGACAACCTCGCCGACCGCCTCTTGGGCTCCTCCTTCGCCGCCCCCTCGGCGGAGCTGACCTTCCTCTTGGGCATCGTGGCGGCGGGTCGGGTGCGTGCCGGGTGCCTGCGGGCCGCCGCGCGCCGAGAGCCTTCGCGAAGCTGGGCTGCCTGGCCGCTGCCGCTCCTCCCGCCGCCCGAGCTGCTGCGACCCCGACCTATTTTAGTTTCTAATCTATTTCGTATGTTGAAAAAAATTCATCCTCAGATTAAAAAGATTGTTTTTCAATAGTCTTATTTTTCTAAACTGTGAATAGCTCTACTAGCTTTACATGGATTAGCAGAATAAATTATCAGTTTAAAAAGTCAACTATAAAATGGGTATTGGTTCTTCTAAAAAAACAAAAAATGAAGCTTTTTGGAGAATAATCCATAAACCATCTGAATTTAGCCTTACAATACTGAATTTCATTCACAGTTTTGCTAAATAGAAATATTTACTTGTCTTTACCATTTCCTTTAAGCTTTTAAAGAATGGCCAGTGACACATCCTTCCCTGCCTGAGACCATATTTATTAAGCAAATACCTCAAGTGGAGTCTCCAAAGATTGGACAATGCAAGGGGTTATTTATCAGGAAGTAAGAAGACAGCAAAGCACAAACCATCACTGGGGGGTGTTTAGAAGTGAATTGGTGAAAAACATGGAAATGCTCAAATCTAGTGGAAGAATAAATACATATCCATGAATTAAGGACACTTGGATTGACACCAGCTATTTTTCTAGAAGTGATTTTGCACAAAATAACTTTCTGTAAAATTCTGTATTACTTTTTTTGACTTGGCAATGAATAAAAATTTTGGCAATCCTCTGAATAGTTTTTGGTTTTTTAAAAAATTTTTTAAATGTTTTATTTATTTTTGAGAGGGAGAGAAAGAGACAGAGTGTGGGTGGGGGAGGGGCAGAGAGAAGGAGACATAGAATCTGAAGCAGACTCCAGGCTCTGAGCTGTCAGCACAGAGCCCAATGTGGGGCTTGAACCCACGAACCATGAAATCACAACCTGAGCTGAAGTCAGACACTTAACTGACTGAGCCACCCAGGCACACCTAATAAATACTTTAGTTTTAAAATAAATACCCCTGAGAAGTTGCAAATAAATGTATGGCTATGAGGTGAGGAATGACATTTAAATTTACTTAGTCTTGGTATCAAAAACTTTATATAAAATTGGAGAGCTAAGCATGACAGGGTTACAGAATCGATTAATCTCTGATGAAGCTGATTGCAAAATGACCTTGGTAAGTCACCTGCCCTTGGGAAAATCAGTTTTCTCTTGGCCTCACCTCCCTTGTTTCCAAAATGAGTGGGTTCAACAAAAGAAGTAACAGGTTTATTTGTAAAAATATACTCTTCAATTATTTAATACACAATGTACTATATCAATATCATATACACATCACACTTTATGCTATGTATGCACTGTGCTATATAGTACACAATACTCAGCACGAGGACACTCTGGATTACCTGGGTGTCGATCCATTTGGTCCCCGTCTTGGTGTGCTCTACTTTTCCATAGAAGTGCACAGGCAACATGAATTCTGGACGGGCTTTCTCCCAGGGGTTTCCATGCCTGAGCCAATCATCTGCCTCTTCTACCTGCAAAAAGGACCTGGCTTAGAATTTTTCAGGAGACGTGGACCTTCAATTATATCAAATCAAATTATATCAAATCAAAATATATCTTTGACTGAATCGATGCATGAATACTGTTTTCATAAGAACGAGTATTGGTTCTGTCAAACTCAATTCACTTTTGTTAATGTATCACAACCTAAATTAAAATTAATACTTGTTAATACATAACATTTAATCCTCATAGCAAAACTCTATAGATAGAACTATGATGTTTCCTTTTTTATTTTTATTTATTTTTATATTTACTTATTTTTGAGAAAGAGAGAGTGAGTGTGTGAGCGGGGGAGGGGCAGAAAGAGAGGGAGACACAGAATCCGAAGCAGCTGCAGGCTCTGAGCTATTAGCACAGCCCAGATGCGGGCTCGAACCCACAGAGAGATCATAGCCTAAGTCAGATGCCCAATGGACCAAGCCACCCAGGCGTCCCTGATGTTTCCTTTTTTAAAGAAGAGGAAACTGTAACTTGTTCAAAGTCACACAGACGGTAAATGGTACAGCTGAGATTTGACCTCAGGTCTGTGGGTTCTAGTGCTTATGTCTTAATACCTGTGAATACAATTGTCCAGCTTGAGGGATAGAGAGAGGCCATCCAGGGATGTTTATAACTGGAAACCTGGACCCGACAGGTCCTACATGATGGTTTCTGTCAAGATTTTTTTGCCTAGAATACACAGAATCAATTAAGAAATACTACTCACAGAGGGGCAGGCGGCTGGGTGGCTCAGTTGTTTAAGCATCTGACTCTTGATTTAGGTTCAGATCATGATTGCACAGTTCATGAGTTCAAACCCCACACTGGGCTCTGCACTGACAGCAAGGAGGCTGCCTGGTATTCTTTCTCGCTCTTTGCCCCTCCCCCATTCACTTGCTCTCTCAAAAATGAACAAACATACAAATGAATAAATAAAATTAAAAAAAAGCAATGCTACTAATGGAAAGCTCTCTTAAGAAAGCTTATTTCAATATAGGTATAAAACACTATCACATTTTGTAGACTTTGTTTAATTTAATCCTTTCATAGTTTTGATCTGATGATGAACTATTATGGTTCATTGTGAAAATAATATACACTAATATGTAAAGAATTTGTGTTCTTGACAATGTCAATATTTTCTCATGTATTTATGTTAATTTGTCACACCATATTTCTTATAAAAATTTTAAAATCATAATCTGTAGGATTTTAAGTCATGTTTGGACATGTATGTATGCATTTTGGTTTACAAAAAAACAAATATGCCAAAACAAGAAAAAACGTATTGGGACTCCCAATAAAAAAATAAATAAAATATTAATAATAGAAAATAAATTTTAAAAAAATATTAGGACTCCCACCTAAATACAAGTTCAATGCCTATCCCAGGCACAGTACAGAGAGAAAGAAATACACTGTCTTTTAAGATATTAGACAAAACACTGATGTCAACTGATAGACAAGCAAATACACATTTATTTATGCAAACATTATGACTTTCTGTCAAGAAATCAGGTAAGCTATTCATTAATACTAAGTACCTGCATAATGGTGAATCAAAAGGGGACTCATAGAAACAACATCTGTAGGTAGTAGATCTGGGAGTGAGAGAGATGCTAGAGGCAGGATGTAGCACATGTAGGGTGAAGCCCAGGAAAGGCTGAAGCTAGGTTTGCATTAATCAGCTAATCAAACCTGGTTAAAAGACGGATGCTTAGTCTGGGAGGAGGTCTAAAACTCTGCATTTATGGAGTTGCTCTGGAAAACAGTGTGGAGGTTCCTCAAAAATTAAATATAGAACTACCCTACGACCCAACAATAGCTCTGCTAGGAAGTTACCCATGGGATACATGCATTCCCAAGAGTGCTGATGCATAGGGACACATGTAGCCCAATGTTTATAGCAGCGCTCTCAACAATAGCCAAATTATGGAAAGAGCACAAATGTCCATCAACTGACGAATGGATAAAGAAGATGTGGTTTATATATACAGTGGAATACTACTTGGCAATGAGAAAGAATGAAATCAAGCCATTTGCAGCAATGTGGATGGAACTAGAAGGTATTATGCTGAGTGAAATATGTCAGTCAGAAAAAGATATATGTTTTCACTTACATGTGGATCTTGAGAAACTTCACAGAAGGCCATGGGGGAGGGGAAGAGGAAAAAATAGTTACAGAGAGGGAAGGAGGCAAACCATAAGAGACTCTTAAATACAGAGAACAAACTGAGGGTGGATGGGGTTGTGGGGGGAAGAGGGGAAAATGGGTGATGTGCATTGAGGAGGGCACTTGTTGGGATGAGCACTGGGTGTTGTATGAAAGCCAATTTGACAATATATTCATAAAAAAATAAAATAAAACTGTATTAAAATGTTTTTTAAACTTTTAATGTTTATATTTGAGAGACAGAGAGAGTGAGAGACAGAACACAAATAAGGGAGGGGCAGAGAGAGAGGGAGACACAGAATTCAAAGCAGGCTCTAGGCTCTGAGTTGTCAGCACAGAGCCCGATGTGGGGCTCGAACCCACGAACTGTGAGATCATGACCTGGGCCGAAGTCAGATGATCAACAGACTCAGCCACCCAGGCATCCCTGAAATTTTGCATTTTAACAAGTCTCCTGGGGCTCCACGGTGCAACCACGAGCTATGTGATGATACAAACTCAGCAACTACAACTCAGAATTTACACTTCCACTTATTCTAGTCAGCAAGGACATCAAAAAATGAAATAAAAATTTAACAAGGAAATGGTTGAAGTTTAGCAGATGATAAGATGGTTTAGTTAGAGTCCACTAGCTTGTGTTGATAGCTAGAAACGCTACACAAATAAATAAGCATATCCACAAAGGACCAAAACATCCTGACTTACAAAACACTTCACGCTGCACTTAGGTAAGGGCAGGCTGGGGGTTTTCAGACACTGGTCAGTGTGAACACCGCTTCCTGTTACAGGAAGAAACCTCATTTCAGCCCTGGAGACTGTTGTAAAACCCACCTGAAGGCATTACACGAAATGGGACAATGAGGCAGAAAAAGCTTTACTCAAAAATCATGTGTATAAGAGGGGCACCTGGATGGCTCAGTCGGTTAAGTGTCAGACTTTGGCTCAGGTCATGATCTCATGGTTTGTGGGTTTGAGCCCCGCCTCGAACCCTGTGTTGGGCTCTGTGCTGACAGCTAGCTCAGAGCCTGGAGCCCACCTCAGATTCTGTATCTCCCTCTCTCTGACCCTCCCCAGCTCACGTTGTCATCTCTCTCTCTCCCTCTCTCAGAAAAAAAAAAAAAATCATGTGTATAAGAGGGCTGACACTGTATTTTCTGCTGAGCAATGCAGCAAGATCATACTGTTTTGCCCTCAAGCAGCGTGAAATGCTCTCAGAAGAAATGAACTCTGGGCTTGCCACCACCGGCCTGCTGGCGTGCAAGTCAGAGGCTGCATTTGCTCTTCTGAGAAAATACGAGGTGACAAGGCACCAGTCAGCAGATTACTCGTAATGCCATCAAATGTTGGTCTTTTTAATTTT